CACTCTTTCTCACAAATTTTTTCCTTTAAAAAAGAAGAAAGAATCCAATTTAATTTATTGGTTCAAAGTTCAAACACTGACACATTAACAATCGAACGTTACAAATAAATTATTGATTACAAGTAAATGTGGATAACAACAAAAAATAATGAAATCTGGTCCTGAGAGTTTTGCATTAAAAGCCGGCATTTGGATAACCAAAAACGTTACCGTCTCATAACTAGCCCTCGTGCATTTTTAATGCGAGTCAGTCAGTATGAGAACCTCCCAACTAGAAGAGCAATAATATAATCTCAAGACCAATGTTGAAATCACAAGCCTAACAATACTACATTACTCTGCACATTTCTAATCTTAAGAAAAATTTGTTGCATTAAACATTTTTCCATTTCTGATCTTTCATAGTGGCCATTGGGGGAAAAAAGGCAAGCTAAGATATTTGGAATCATAATTTCTTCTCCAAAAATTGCATTTGTCATTACTCCTTGTTGCCTGATTAGTTTGACGAATTTCAGTGTCATGTGTGTCATAAATGTGACATTAGGATTGGATAACAAACCTGTGAAGCTGTGGTTTTTACTGGAAACTAGAGAGACTCATGATTGTTGGTTGTTACTGATAATAAAAAGAATGAAGAAGATGGGGGAATAGGGTAGGATTAGGACCAAAAAATGCAGACACTACTCATATGGCACTTTTTCCACTTCAAGGAAATTAATAGTTGCCAAAAACAGGTATTCCTTCACATCATTCAATCAAAGAACATGTACCATTCTACCTGCTACCCATTTTTATTAATTTCTAAATGTTCAAATATCATTAGTACGTGCTATATTATGATGTAGTTAACTGCACTCATGGCTTCTATTGTGAGAAGATCATAATCATAACTTTTCTCTCCAAGTTCATGGATTCTTCAAACTCCAATGGAGGAGGACCACAGAGGCTCCTGGACTTGGCAGAAAGGCTCCGCCTTTACAAGCCCCCACCATTCCCTGAAGACATCTTGGATCAGATCATGGAAGAGAATGAAGGGAAGGTCGTATCACAAGCGAGTTTAACTGAATCAGCCACACCAATTGCTCAAAACACAGAAAAATTCAGATACAAGAGAGCTGCTGTTTTGATCTGCATCTTTGAAGGGGATGCTGGGGAGCTAAGGGTGATACTCACAAAACGCTCTTCCAAGCTTTCCACTTACTCGGGTCAGTCCAGTTTCATTTATACAAGTGTTGTTTGTTTAAAGATTTTGAACGAATGAAGGACTACGTGTTTGTTTGATTCCGCCGTGGGTGAAAACTCTTCAGACAGGCAATAGTTGTAGTACAGCGAACAGAATTAGTCTACGATCAAGAGGAGTGAGAATTACGTACAGTAGAACAAAAACAAAAAGGAGACAATGTTTTGTGACTTTTTCTTTTAATCTATTGAAATTACAATGAAGGTATTAAAATTCAAATTTAAGATTATGTACATAATACTAATCTAGTGGTTCATGTTTTGTGACTTTTGTTTTTTTCTTTAAGAATTTGATATATTAAATATGACATAGGTTTAAATTGCCGTCACTGTTGATAAAAAGTTGTGGACAAATGTGACTATGTGACAACAATTGCAGTTACAACGCAGTTTCAGTGACTTTAAAAGTCTTGATATTGTGGCTAAAATTACAATCCTCAATAGTTTTTTTTAAAACCTAGTGACATGTTTGAAAAGTGTTTTTTTCCCTACCCTTCATATTTAGGCACTTGGACTCAAGAGGGGATATGCAATGAGGAACGTGTGTGTTGCATGTTGTTGACTTTCTTTTGCAGGTGAAGTGGCCTTGCCTGGCGGGAAAGCAGAGGAGGGGGACAAGGATGATGGGGACACTGCAAAAAGAGAGGCAATGGAGGAAATTGGGTTGGACCCTGAACTTGTCGATGTTGTTACTTTTCTTGAACCATTTTTTTCAAAGGTATGAATTCCTTTTTACACCCCCATTTGTTTGAGCAGTTGATTGACTTGGTTGGCTGGCTAGTGGCTGAAAGAAAAATTGAGCACATCAATTATGTACTCCAAATGTGAAAATTATTTCATTGATGTCTCTGGATCCAAATGTGGTTCATTTAAAAAGTTGGTTTGTTGTCACTTGTTTCATATTTGTTGTTTAAATTCCACATGTAAGGTTTGCACGGTTCATATTAGTCTATATTCTGTGGTTACAATCAGAATTTGGAGAGCTTTTGAATACTCATTAAATATTTTAAAAATAATGGCAAATTGGCAGTTCTTTCTAGGAAGTTTTCGCCTTTCTTTGGAATTTGATGTCATGCAATTTTTTTCTTGATTGATAAATGATTAATTTGAAAACTATTTGTAAAGTTTCCTTTAATCCTCCGTTTATTTTTTCTGTTGTAGTACCTCATGAGAGTGGTTCCTGTCATTGGCATTCTTCATGACAAAAAGGCATTCAAACCTGTCCTGAATCCTGCTGA